GGCGGGGAGCCTCGTTTCCGGCGGAAAGGCACAGGGCTGACCAGGAAGGCCAGTTTGGAAAGGCCTGACTCACTGGGTGACTGCTGGGCTAGCGGAGATGTAGAGGCAGGGTGGGACTCCTGCCGAGCCCTTTCTTGTTGTCGCTCATGTTTTAGCATGGTGGTGAATCGTGTATAGGATGCTGGACAGCGACCCTTACATGAGCTGATGAGGTGGCGGTGTTGGTAACCTTGACTCTGACCGACACTCTGGTGCACGTGATGGTGGCGATGGTAACGGTGTCCATGGTGATGGTGTCCATGATGGTGATGTTGCCCAGAACCGTAAAAGCTCTCCAATGAGGTAAATGAGCAATGATCCAGGTCACTTTCGCTACACAGTGAAGATCCTTCTATGTGGATGTCGCTCATTTCAGAGGCACAGGCGTCCTGCTCACTGTCCGAGTAGTCTTGATGCCTCTGGTTCTTCCCATGAATTGGCACCAGGCTACTGCTGTCTGGTTCCGGTTTTGGATGTCCCTCAGGGGGACTCCTAGCCCTTTCTGGAGGATCCTCTTCCTCTAAAAGTGATTCCACAGAAAAGCGTCGTTTGGGACAGCTGCTGGCCCTTGAGGACCCTGGTGTGGTGGTGCCCGAAGGAGCATTTTCGTCACCAAGGTCTGGCATTGACTTTGATTTCTGGATGAGCTGTTCATATTCTGAAATAAGGTTTGGGACCATGTGTTGAGGTACCTCATTACCGAAAGGTGCCCAACCATGGAGGTTGTGCCTCTTTTGCTGCTGTAGCCGTTCCAGCTCGAGGATTCGTGCACGTACAGAACGAATCACCTCTGAGGGCAACAGCTGCTCCCGGTCTATGTGGTGCATTTTCTTGTAGAGCTGAAGGAAACCTGGAGTATCATGTGGCATCTTACGGCGGTGATGTCGCCGCCCCCTGGGAGATGAGGTAAGACTTTTTACTTGAGGCGTCTGTGGAGCGTCTTCATCGAGCAATGAACCTGCACTTTCAGAGCGAGTGGTAGTCACAGAAGTGGATGCTCTCCCGTCATTACTAGCACCATGTCCATCAGACAACAAATCATCACAGCTACGTGATTTGAGCCGTGGTGATGACGGAGTCACGACAGATTCATCGTCAACACTACTCCAAGTCTCTGCAGCTTCATGTCGGCCTGTCTGCCAACCGTTCTTGAAGCAGATGGAGCGCTTG